TGCGGGCACATTCACCGCACTTTATCAACAGCATGCTCACAAAACAAGCAAAGACAATCATGGCTGGTGGCGCCACAAACTCAACCTACATAGGCCACGGAGTTTGTTTTCTTCATGGGGCTGCAAACAATAAGGCCTGGTCTACAAGTAGAAGTTTGCGTCTTCTGCCTTCAGGAAAGGAGAACACCACACTGCCACCCCCACTGTGTCAGGGAATGCCATCCTCAGAGCACTTACTGAAAGGTTCGCAGTACCTCCCTCACGGTCCCTCACAGGAAAACGCTCGGCTTCGCAGTACCGGCACATCGAGCATAGCTCGTCACGCCGAACCGCGTGGCACCGCGTGGCACGGAGTCGTCCGTGGCACGGTGCCGAAAATCAAGAGCTCTGAGAAGATGCACTGCATCAACTTAGAATTCCAACCCTTTAATAAGAGCAAGCAACAAATCAATGGTTTTATTCGAGCTCAAAAACAAAGAGTATAGAAGGATCAACTTGCGCAAAACATGACCCTGTTTCTTTCATGTTGTTTCCCAGGAAGGGAGGCCAAAAACCCGGCAACGGCTGCCAAGCCCAAGCCCAAAGTGTTGCAACCCAATACCTCACGAGCAAAGTCTCCGAGTTGGATACCGCTTTCGTCTCGTCGGTCCTTCCCCCACGGCCCAAGAGGCTTCAAGGACTCCAGCGGCCAAGGACGTCACCCAGGCGTTTCTTGGAATCGACAAACAAGACCTCTTCAGAACGAACCAGGACGCTACGATCGGGGCGACCCTGGCCTAGGCCAACGAACGGGAGCATTCGTATACTGCGAACGGAACAAGAACGAAAAGACGCCCGAAGAAGTCCTAGAGAAGTCCACCTGCAGCAGTCGCATGGAGTTGGGTTTGATTCGTCCCTTTCGAACGTTTCTTTACGGGGCCGAAAGGTAGTGAGTCTTCTCATCGTCGAACAGACGGGGTGTGCCACCCCGAACAGATCCACCGGCACCACGAGCAACGATGTGACTCACGGAACTGCGGTCTGGTCGCGGGTCGGTCCATGAGCCCGGGCCATGTAGGTGGGCGAGCCCACACACGTCATGTTGTCCATCACGGTGGTGCCGGCCAAAACCTGATGGAAAGGCACGCAGAGGCTGCGTGTGGCGTCAGTGGGACACTGCGTGGTGCGGCCGACGTGGTGCGGCCGACGTGCAAGTGGCCTTCTTTGCGTCAACGACGTTCAGATCGTGTAGATCGATGTTTTCGCTTGCGGATTTGTGTGCACGCGCGGGCAATACGCGCGTGTTGAACCTTGAAATGCGTATGGCCCCTCCGCATGTGCCTGCTGGTGCTTCCTTCTCATATGAGGTGGTCGAATCGAGTCGATGGCTTCTTGGAGACTCTTTCATATTCTTTCATGTCACATGATAATCATTCAACGCCACACTCTCACCCCCCAGTCCTCAACCACCAAAAAACATCAGTCCATGGGACAAACCTATATTTATATATATATGATACATGTTGCCCATCAGTTCTCAGGTGTCTTGTTCATTTCATGTTCTGTTGGGTTCCTCCGCCCGACGGGTCCGTCTCCGGAACCCCGGGTCCCGCGGGTCCGTCTCGGCCGTGTTCGCCTTGGCGACACCGAAGTCTCCCAACTTCAGGAGCCCATCACTGGCGATCCGAGGACGGCGAGACTTCGTGCGGTTCCGCGAGCGTGTGCGCCGGCGACCGGAGGTGCACGGTAAGCGACCGGTGGAGACCGGTGGTGTAACACTCATGTTGTAGAACTCATGTGTGGCTCAGTGACATGGTCTTAGAGTTATCCGACATGAATGGACAAAACATTGCGGCAGCAATGTTGCCCTCTATAAGACCACAGCACGCTACACCTAGAAAGTTCCTATACACTCTTTTCTCTGATAGAGTGTCACCATCAATCAGTGCATTTCCATGGAGATCGTCCTGCAAGTACCCCAGGGCTCCTGGGGGCGTACCTCCTCAGGTTCGATATGCCTGGACCCTCCCTTCTTCAACCACCCAGCCCAGTCCCACCTTCGAAGGCACTTGGAGAACTAGGGCCTAGGGTTTTGTTATATGTTTTACATGTTTTTAAAGGAATATAAGTAACCCAAGTAGGAGAACTAGAAAAAACAACTATAGAGTAGGGATAGGAAAACACCTCGGGATGCCGTCTGAAGACGCTGGGACGTCCCAGGTGCCAGCGAAGAGCTGGAAAAAGGACACGGCGTGCGCATGCGTGCGCGATATCAAACGTGCAGAAAAAATAACGCAAAAAGGTTAAGCACTGAACTGATTGCATGGTCCAGCATGGTCTAAACATTATGGTCTATTATGGTCTGAACATGTCTGAACTAATTGCTCATCTATACCTACAGTGCTACTAGTCTCCTCACGTTCTTGCTCCTGCCCACACAGCCGTTGGCTTTCGTTATGCCTGGTGAGCATCACGTTGGAGGGCTTCAAGTCGCGATGCATCACTCGCTGTTCATGGACCTTGCGTCACCGTGGCCACCAGCCATGGCGAACAAAACAGAAACAACTCCGTATACTCAGTTGTGGATTGAAAGGTTCTGATACAGTTCTGTGGCTCACCTGTATCAGATTAATCTTAATTGAAGTAGTAAATACCCTCCCGAAAACTAACATGGACCCTGAGAATGGCATCCTTAGAGACTCTTCTCATCTACAACCCCCCCTGGTTTTCAATATCCACGTTAGTTTTCAGCAGAGTACTGTATATAAGTAATGTATGTTGTATATAATTATAAAGACTAGGCCTCCAAGCCATAAGGTGGAGTTCTCCAGTCACGGCAATCATTGAAGGCCAAATCATTGCCAACAAATTGCTTCTTTTTCGTCAGAAAACAGGCCGTCCAACAACTCCATTGCTTCTATTTTGCCTGCAGTGCTACAATGTCCCAATGTATTGATGCTGGTATGGTTTGCGAAAGCTCATTTGACGCAAGTTGGCGGGTCTGGCGATATCAAACTTACGTGTTTCCTTTGTATTGCTTTGTTGAATGTCCTACTCGTTTGAATGTCTCGCGTAGACCGTGTTTCTCCTGGAATGCGTAAACATATACAAACTATATATATATATAGAAAATACACCATGCCTTAGATGGGGCCCCATGTTGACACCCCCTCAGAATATTTCAAAGTAATATTCTGGATACCCACCACCTAAATTGTTGATCTTTTCCATGTTCATTTGACCCTTGGAAAAGTTTTATCGACATGCCTTTTAAGGCATTTCTGCGCTAATAATTAAACAGTCGTCCAAAGGTAACCTACCCATGGAAAAATTTGGCAACATTTAAATCAAGCTGGAAATCAAGCTGCCAATTCAATCCAACACCCCCCCTATCTTGATACTTATTCTGGGGGTCCTTGACATCCACAACAAAAAGTCATGACACATAAATGTCAAACATTTTCCGTGATTTCCATGGTCGGTCAGAATGAGACCCCACCCACTGAAAAGCTATAATATTCTAATTGTTTTTTTTCCAACAAACATATTCCAGGAGGTGACATGGTACCCTGGAATATTTTTTAGTGCATTGAATATTATAGACATATTCACAACTATATATATATATATAGAAACTATAGAAACAAGCTATAGAAATGTTGCTTAAACATTCAAACTATAGAACATACACTCCCCGCAACTAACATGGGCCAACGTGGATGGCATGGGCACTTGGAAGAGCATGCCATCCAAATACCACTTCCAGGGGGGTGAACTCCACGTTCCGAGTACCAGGGCGTCGGTTGTCTCACCTTCTGAACTTGCATCTGAGTCACGTGAGCTACAGCCTCAGTTTTGCTTTCTCAGCTACTGCGGATCACGAAGGTATTAGTCGAAGCACCAGAAAACTGGTGTCTTTTCTTCATGCCTAACAGGGGTTTTTCTAAGGGGGGTGGTCTGACCTGATCAGGACGGAAAAACACGGATCAGGTCAACATGAAAAGGAGTGAACATGCACCTCTAACAGAAGGGGAGGCTGAAAGCGCTGAAAGTTCCAAGCTCCAACTTTCCAACAAACACAAATGTATTTCTTGTTTGCGCTCTAGCTGAGAAATCTGGGCCATCTGTGCTTAAAGTGGAATTTTCCATTTCTGTTGGGGCCAGGATAGGGAATCCCCTGTGCTGCCCTGACATCCATAAGCTTTGCCCGAGTGCAAAACTTCAGTATACACATTTGGACAAATAGCTATTGGCCCTTTCTGCTCTCAGTGCAAACATCAATTGGCCAAACATCCCATGGTTTTCCTTTTTTTTTGGTGGCAGTCCCCCAAAAGCTTGGACTAACACATTGTTACGCTGGACTACACGTTAACGGCATGTGACTGGCACCGACGTTCGCAAAACACGAGGTTCCACCCTTCCTTTCACCAACTCCTTTCGGGCCTCAAAGGCTGGACTTCCTCTGGATCAATTGAATCAACAAACTCCATGCAAATGCCTCCAAACTTGGGTCAAACATGGTCAAATAATCAAGATCCGAGGCTGATGACTATATCTCCTCACTTGCTGGTTTCCTCCCAACTCATCCGGGTCGCTACCACCAGCTGGGAGAACACCGCGAAGAGTGCAGCCACCTGGAGAGGGTTTCTTACAAACGGCTGTCCGGATTGGAAGGCCTGGCGGCCAGCCAGCTTTCCAGCCCCAGTCTGGGATGAAAGGCTTGCCAGCTCTTCAAAAAGGTAGAAATTCGGCGGCCGCACCCCCACTGCTCAGCCGTGGGGTGGGTGGCAAAACCCCAAAGCGTCAGAGATACAAGTAGAAATCCAGATTCTCCAGCGCGGCGGCTGGTCAGCTGCTGTGCGTTCGAGCCGCCGGAGACCTTCCACGTCCCCATGGACCGAACAAAGAGATTCGGTGCCGGTGGCCACCCAAATCCGGGGAAGCCCCTGCTGATACGCCCCAAAGAACTGCCCCTCACCCCTCACCCCCAAAAAAGAAACAAGAGCAGCACGGCACCAGCTTTTCCAACCACTTCTCGGCGATGCTGAAGATCTTTTGCTGCGATGTTACGATGTTTGCTTCAGTCTTGGCACAGCATATGCCGGGTCAGCATAACCAACGGCAGCAAAGTCCACACCACGTTCCGGCGGTGATGCTTCCACGAAGGGCGACGACTGGGGGCTGCAGCTGGGGGCAACATGTTTCATGGCAAAGCTGCACACATCTGCACACAGACCCTCCAGGCTGCTGTAGGTTCCGCAGTTCACAGGACCATCTGAAGACCAACGGTTTGAATTTGGCACAGCGGAGCACCATGACCGGTCTCCCCCTATGACCGGTCTGCAGGGAGTCCGTCGACCAGCAGATCAGTGGGCCGACCATCATGCCGCCTGCGGTGGAGAGTCTTGGCTCACGCGAAGGCCGTGGCACTTCAAAGTCATTAACTTGCAAACCTTCAAGCCCTCCAAGCCCTGAGTGAAATCTTCACCCAATGTGAGGCCTGGGTGAACAGCACCGTTTGCAAAGATGCGGGCTAAAGGACTTATATAAATAGAAAGAGTATGAAAGAGTAATCACCAAAACTCTGTGTGCAGCAGTGGATGACGTTCAGTCCGTGCTACTTGCTACCCCTGCCAAAAGAAGAAACACCTTCGCAAAGACCTACACCACTCTCCATCAAACAATCATGGAAGCAAAGTGGTTTTCCACTGGAATACCATGTACATGTAAATTCATCCTTTCCGGTAAAGTTTGGTGACTCAGCTGCAGGACATCTCTCCCAAAAAAAGACTGCCTCTCTCCAGTCCTCCGAGAGGCTCTCCAGGCCGTTGGGCATGTTCACCAAGCTCTGGTTGAAACGCGCGCCAAAGCTCAAGCTCCGCAAAGCTGGGGGCCAGTCCACCTCCAGCGGCTCCAGCGCGGCGAAGGACAGGTAAAAAAAGAAAAGCACTCCACCCCGTCAGCCTTCGGCACCTTCGGAAGAAGTGACTCATGAGTCAATATATCAGAAGCTAGCAAAAGGACATATTTTTGAAGTCAATTATATCCAAATGATATGTCAATCATGTCAAGGACTAGCAGAAGGAAGTCAAGTCGTCCACTGTCACAACACGTTGTTTTGCTTGCAACGCGGAGATGCATCCCGTTCAGTAAATATTCTATCTTTGGGAGATGCATCCAGTGACAGTGACTGTATGTGACTGTTCACCTCCTCCAAGCTTTGGTTGAACAAGTCCCCAAAGGAAAGCCCGCGAAGCCCAGCAGGCCACACCGCCTGCGAGGCCGCTTTGGTCTCGGGGTGCCGGTGCCGAACGGGGTGCTGACGGATGGGCGCCAGCACATCGGAACAACCAGCCCCGTCAGGGTCAGCGGAGAGATGTGGATAGGACTGCGAGGTTGAGATGTGAATCCTCCTATATCAGGACCCTCCTGTCGGGGTGCCCTGTCTGGAAGCCTATAGGTAGTGTAGGGTAGTTCATTGGACACCCCGACGTACACTTCCTGATTCCTGAAATGAAGCCAACCCGATTCCTGGAGTGGCCACCACGTAACCGGTAATTTCATCGTCCGAAACCCGCAAGGCCATCCACGTAACCGGCAGTTCGCTTGAGGTCGCTGGGTCCACACAACCCCAATACAAGCAGCATTCGCCGAATGCTAAACCAGCTCCCAAATTGAACCGTGAAGCAACCATGTGGTCCCCCAAAGCAACCCCCGCAAACCGCAAAGTTGTGGCTAACAGTGAAGCTACCAAAAAGCAAGTCAACAAACATAGGATATTATAGGTGATAAGAGTCATGGCCCTCCCAAAAATATTCCTGAAATGGACAGAATCACCACATTCCATCCGGGTTCACGGGTCACAGGTCGAAAATGGCCCAAAACCCAGGTCGCACCACACCGCACTCACCTGTAGTGGCTGGTTGAACTCCTCTCCGAAGCTGAGCATTTGCAGCGCCTCCGGCCATGCCACCGAGCGGATCGGCTGATCAAAGAGGTCGCCGAAGCTCAAGCGCTGGAGGCTCTTGGGAAGGGAGACCTGGGAGGCGAAGGGACACAAAACAAGGCGAAGAAGAAGCTACTCGGGTCACCAGGCATCGCTACTACCAGTAGAGGAGCAAGTGCATCGCGTTGTTGGTCGCTCATTTGCTAGTGAACGGAACACTGACTGGTGCGACGAAAGGTAGGGAATAAGGGTGGCGGAGCTCGCACGGCATCACGGCTTCAGGTTCCCGGAGAAAGCCCTATTGGTGGTGTTCCACCGCTCATTGCGATTACTGAAAGGGGAAAACACGATGCACTAGAACTCAAACCATCTAAAAACCATCTATACAAACCATCTTTGCTGGTCATCTTAAGTTTACACTAAGTGAGTATAGGTTGCATTTCTGTTTCGATCAGTGTCCTCCTCCCGGTCTACGTCGTCTAAACCTCACGGCGTCACGTCTTCATGGCAGTGAGGAGCGGCACGGCGTGGAAGACGGTCCACGACCGGCGTGCCAATGGAAGACAAACTCGGTAGAGGGACATCCATGGCACCCATCACCATGATTATACCAGGACCCTCCATGCTTCCATTGCCCTGTCTGGAAGCCTATATGTGGGGTAGTTCATTGGACACCCCGACAGGAGGGTCCTGGTATGATATTATATGATATTGATATTATATGATATTTTATGAGGGAGTGTGGGAGTGACACCAGCCTTCCACAAAAAAGAAAGAAGAAACACATCACCTGTGGGATCCGGCTTGAAGCAAACAACGACAACGTGACATTGAAAGTGGAAGACCTTTTCACAGGTTCCTGCTCAAGGCAAGTCTGAGTATGACCAACAAATTGAGGGAATTCGAGACTTAGGGTCGCACAAACCAAGAAAAACATAACTGTACTACGTATATCCATCCTCCATCCTCCATCCTCCACCGCCGATTTGTGCAAATCCATCCTCCACCCAACCGCCCACACCGAGCCCGGCGACTCGCTCCAAGCTCTGGTTGAAGCGTGCACCCAAGTGGAGGCTTTGAAGCGCTGGCCAAATCACCTCCTCCAGACCTGGAAGAATTGGTCTCGAATCCGATTACCGAACCACCGCCCCGAGCTTGGAGAATACTTCAAGAACCCTAAAGTTTACGCTTCTTACTCTGTTCCAACATGACACTTGCGGTCTACAGCGGATCGGATTAACACGTCCATTTTGCGTGGCAGGTACAGCACGGTCAGATTTCCACACCCGTTTAATTTTATAATATTTATAAGGCTTTCAGGTGTGGAAATCTGACCGCAACTGAGGTGTCGACATGTCGCACGTAGGATTCTAAGGGGAAAGGGTTTGTGATGTTTTAGAAGTCAAGAAGCGCAACTTTTGGCACCCCAGTGCGTTATTACTAGGTATTAGCCTTGTGTTTACAACTAATCATGAGAAATGTTGTCAGGTTCGGCATTAACGTTGTCCTGTTATAAAGTTAAGAACAAATAAACATATAAT